TCCCTCGAGCCATTTCCTGCCTTAACCCTCCCATCTAATACCAAACAGACCTCATTCTGCTTGTGTTCCCCGACAGGACTGAGCCAGTGGGTGTGCCAGAACCCTCTATGCTCTTTGCACTTATCAAAAACATCAGAAAACAGAGATGTTCAGCGCTGAGTGTTAAACAGTCTCAATAGTTTCAGTCTCGCTGTAGCAGAATGGAATCTTTCGTCTCTTATTTGTCGAGGGCAATGAGCTTGATCAAGTTTGCTATAAACAACATCTGCTTATGAATGGGTGTGGCAGTTTCTCATAGGGGCTGAGGTGGGAAAAACTTATTATGTATTTGTTTGTTTCATCCTTATAGAAGAGGGTGGAGGCTTTACCTGCAGGGAAATGTCATCAGTCCTTAGGCATTAATGAGGTTAATTAGTAGGTAAGAAGTTCCTGGTATTCTCTGGCACATATTTGTGCATCAAAACATTTTTTTTTCTCCATCCCAATTCTTGTTTTTAAAGATGTTAGTGGCAAGATAACATTGTCTAAGTCAGATGTCTAAGTCAGTCATGATTTTGTTTAGCAGAAAATGAAAGAAAGCATTTTCACATTTAGTGACTCCAAAAATGTTGTGATGCAGTCACCAAGCAAAAAGTATTTTTAAACGCATTGAATACATTTGGTTGTACACATCTTAATAATTTAATCAATGCAAATCTATTGCAAAATACATTTTTATTTCTGTTCTGTTCTGTCTGTAGATTTAGTATTTTTTTCTTCATTCAACAGAGCCGTGTTGAACTCCCTACAGGAATCCTTGGCATTCATCTCAGCACATGGTATTTTTTATGCAACAGAATTGGGCAATTTTCTATCATACACACTTGCTCCTGTTGCAGCATCTGAAATAGCATACTTATTCTTCACAGCTGCAATTATATCAGTCAATTATCAGATTAGCGGTTGGCTGGAAAAGTAGTAACTTCTCTACAGGAAACTGCTCTCAATTAAAGACCTACTGTAAAAGGAGACAGTATAGTGGCAGCGGGACACCATTATATTATATTATATTATATTATATTATATTATATTATATTGTATTGTATTGTATTGTATTGTATTGTATTGTATTGTGTTGTATTGGGTGAAATTGGTTAAATTGAGTTTTTTTTTAATTCTGCATAGAAGTCATATAGTTGTTGCAGGTATAATTGAAGCCTCAATTCAAAAGTTTAGGGTCTATAAGTGTTTTGTATTGTATTGTATTGTATTGTATTGTATTGTATTGTATTGTATTGGGTGAAATTGGTTAAATTGAGTTTTTTTTTAATTCTGCATAGAAGTCATATAGTTGTTGCAGGTATAATTGAAGCCTCAATTCAAAAGTTTAGGGTCTATAAGTGTTTTTTTTTTTGAAAGAAACTAATACTTTTATTATTAAATTGATCAATGGCAGTAAACACATTTAATTTATAATGTTATAAAAATAATTCCATTTCAAATAAATGCTGTTCTTTTTAACTTTGTTTTTCATCAAAGAATCCTAAAAAAAGTTTTCTACAAAACTATTAAGCAGCACAGGTGTTTTTAACATTGATAATAATAAGAAATTATTTTGAGCACGACATCAGCATATTAGAATGATTTCTGAAGGATCATGTGACACTGAAGACTGGAGTAATGGCTGCTGAACAGTTTGCTGTGCCATCATAGAAATAAATTACATAGAAATACATTCTAAAATGTATTCAAATAGAAAAGAGTTATTTTAAATTGTAATAACATTTAGTAATAGTACTGATTTTTACTGTAGTTTTGATCAAATAAATGCTGCCTTGGTGAGCATAAGAAACTTCTTTCAAAAACCCTATCTCTGACCACAAACTTTTGAACGGTAGTGTATATAGATGCTATACATAATGATATACAGTAGATGTACATAGATGTAGATAAATAGATAGATCAAAAATCTCATTTTGCAAACAAAATGAATCTAAAATGACAGATAAGTAAAAGTTGTGTAGATCTCCATTCCATATCTCAAGCAGGGTTAACTGAAGTACGACTTTCTTTCCACGCACATTCATCAGCTAACACACCTGGTGAGCTTTATCACCTCATTTCACCTCGGTTATGGTCTCAGCAGACAAGCACGATCTTGCCTGTGATATCCTCCTGTTTGCACCACCCATTATAGCAGCTTTCTCCCATAAGCACATTTGTGCATCTTCAGACCTAATGGTCTGCTTTTGACAAATATGCCATTGATAAGTGCACATCGCCCCACTCATTCGTTAAGTTTTGGATGTTCTTGTAATTCACTCCTTTGTGTTAAAAGGGAGCACTGGCTTTATGTAGGACAGGTCCAACCTAGACAGCCTTTGCCTCCCACTGGTCTGTCTCCAATTTTGCTCCCCTGTGCTCCCTACTGGCTTTGAAGAGCCGCTGCACTGGAGTGTAAATCAGCCCATGGGACAGGTGGTATATCTGCCAGCTGTGTGGAGATCCAGGCAGGAATGTCATAGAGGACAGAGAGCTCTGGTAAAGACCACTGGATGTTCTCTAAAAATGGGGGGAGAAGTAAAAGTGATTGAATTGGACAAATATCATTTATGTTCTCTATTACGTTAACAGATATGATGCAAATGTGTCTGGCAGATAACAGTAACAACTAGATTTATACGTTTTCTGAAGACAATGGGAGTGGTGCTTATAGATGTGTTGTAGTGTTGTAGTAAATGAGTCTCATGTCTGAATTCAAGACCAGTCCAGGCCAAGTCCAAATACTCCTGAATATATGGTCATTGATGTTTTTGTTTTTGAAAGATGTCTCTTATAGTCACCAAAGCTGCATGTGAACAAAAACAGCAAACACTGAGATAATGTGAAATATTTTTACAAATTAAAATAACTGCTTTAATATATTGCAAAATGTAATTTATTTATTTCATTTTTGCTAAATATTTTTTTATTCCTGTGAAGGCAAAGCTGATTTTTGGCAGCCATTTATTTAGTCAGTGTCACATGATCCTTCAGAAATCATTCTAATATGCTGATTTTTGAAACTCTAATATTTTTTTTTTCAGGATTTAATTTATTTGAAATTGAAATCTTTTGTAACATTGTAAATGTCTTTACTGTCACATTTGATCAATTTAACATGTCCTTGCTGAACAAAACTATTGACCCCAGAACGATGGTGTATATATTATAAATATGCCATCTTTGATGAAATTTTCTTATCTTATTTAGTAGTCATTTGTAAGTTTGAGGGATGTGGTCATTGCTCCTAGACCCACTAATGGCTTTTATCCGCCTCGAATGGCTAGTTTTGTGTGCTACATAAAACTAGCCATTTAGTAAAACAAATTAAAACACTAAGTTTAGATTTTGTTGTGTTATGTTATGTGACAGGCTTAGCACCAATGTGTGTTGGGAAGTATCTTAGGTTAGGCTACTTCAGTGTAGTTGTCTGCTTTTTGATTGCTGCTTGAAGTTTAGCTAACTACTTTTTTTTCAGAGCAGTAGATTCAGTGTAGTTCTGTACAGTGAACTGCTTTCAATTATGGTTAGCATGTAGCTTGGCAAGCTACAGTTTCAAAGTAGCTTCCCCAAACTGAAGCAAACACTCCCTGTTCAGTCAGTGATTCTCTCAAAGGCTCTTTCATTCTTCTGTTCTGCCATGTTTTATTCAGTGTGGAAAATCTTAGTTAATTGGTCTGGAGTTGGCTTTTCATGGCTGTTTCCTTAACAACAGGGGAAAGACCCCTTCTCCCTCCCTTTTTTCTTTCCCAAACCCTGCCCATTTAAGGTTGTACCACTTTTTCCCATTTTCCTCCCTCTCCCTCTCTCCCTCTCTTTCCATGTCTTTCTCCCTTCTGCGTGTGAGGACTCTGACAGCTTTTCCTGCTGCTTGTAGCGAACGGCTGAAAGGGAGTGAACACGCGGCTGCTTGTAATACAGAGTCAAACTGAGGCAAACGCATACACTGCTGAACAGTCATTGGACAGGACTGTGAAGACTTTTCGTGGTTTTGGCTGTGTAGCATATTGATGCAGACAGTTTTGGAGTTGTAAATATAGAGCTCTGGCACATGTCACATCTCCATGAATTTGTTGACTCATATGATCATGAATCATGTCCTGTAAGGTTAAGATTATTGAATCAACCAACCAGAGATATCATCTGTGCGGATGGAAGTTATTTTAGATAATTTTGCACTGCATGAAGCGTGTTAATGTTGTATATTTCCAGCATGAGAGTTTGATCCAAGTTCTGGACAGAAGCATCCTTGATGTAAGTTGTGTTAGGGCCAGAGCTGCAGCTGTAAATTGGTTAATGTTTTATCATTATAAAAATAAACACCCGGGCTCATTGTGTGCTTATCTGCGGGAAGGTCAATAATAATGTAACGTGACCAGGCAGCTGAGGTGAGGGCTTCATGCATGGCTGATGTGTTTCGTCAACTAAAAGGGGTTTTCTTGTGCAAGAGCAAGTGAGTAGTTAAAGGGGTCATATGATGCGATTTCAGTTTTTGCTTTCTCTTTGGAGTGTTACAAGCTCTTGGTGCATAAAGAAGATCTGTAAAGTTGCAAGGACTAAAGTCTCAAATCCAAAGAGATATTCTTTATAAAAGTTAAGAAAGCGGCTCGTTCTTACATACCCCCACATGTCTATGTCACGATGCGGGAAGATTTGCATAACGCCACCCAAATGTTCACGCAAAGAAAGAAGGCGTAACTTTTATTCTCGCTGTAGTATTGTTGTTGCCGCCGCCACCATGTCGTGAAGGCGCTGTGTGTTTCGCTGTGAAAGCGAAACTACTTTGTTTGGTCTTCCAAAAGAGGACGATATCCGCTTCGTCATGCCTGGAGCTGATCCGTGCTGGTCGCTGTTCCTTAACAACAGGGGAAAGACCCCTTCTCCCTCCCTTTTTTCTTTCCCAAACCCTGCCCATTTAAGGTTGTACCACTTTTTCCCATTTTCCTCCCTCTCCCTCTCTCCCTCTCTTTCCATGTCTTTCTCCCTTCTGCGTGTGAGGACTCTGACAGCTTTTCCTGCTGCTTGTAGCGAACGGCTGAAAGGGAGTGAACACGCGGCTGCTTGTAATACAGAGTCAAACTGAGGCAAACGCATACACTGCTGAACAGTCATTGGACAGGACTGTGAAGACTTTTCGTGGTTTTGGCTGTGTAGCATATTGATGCAGACAGTTTTGGACTAAAGAAGTCTGATGAAGTGTCTGATGCTGTAGGAGAACAGCTTTGAGATTTATATGTGGTAAGTTTCTGACCTTTTAGCATGCCATATTTAGTGATATTACATTGATATAACTTTAGTAATCCTGTTGCACTGGATGAAAACTGATAAGAAATAAGAAATTGTTCTGTGATGTTCTGCACCGCATTTCTGTTTTGCGTTTCAGCAAAGATATCTAAACATCCTTAAAACAAGATATGTTTTCTTGAGAGGCAAAATAGTGTCTTGAATTGTTTATATTTGTATTGTTATTGTTCTTGATTTAAGCATAAACATCACTTTGCTAGACTGCTTAAAAATATTTTATATTATTTTAAGCATAAAATTATTATTCTCCATTATACCCTAATATCTTAAGCTAGAGAATATCCTAATATATCCTAATATCGTAATATCCTAATATCTTAAGCATATATATA